AGGCGGAAAAAGAAAAATTAAGAAAAGAATAAAAGAATAAGTCTTGCAGGTTGAGTGAAAAGAAAAAAAAGTAATTATTCTAGATGACTTCAACTCTGAAACAAAAGAGAACTTGGCAAAAAAAAGAAAAACAAGGAAAATATACAAAGTGATAGGACAACTGTTTGAGTTCCTTAAAGACAAAGGCTATACAGATTTGAAGCAAAATACTAATATAGGTAGCCACAGTAGTATGTGGCAAGGCAGAGGGGTAGAGACAAAAATAGATTACATTTGAGTATCTAGAGAATGCAGATCAAACTGCCTTGAGTATGAAAATATAGATGCAAAAAACATTACATATAGTGATCATCATATAATAGATGCAACTCTGCTATCAAATATAGATCTACACATAAGCAAAAGCGCTATATATAGAAGAGCAAGAACTAAAAGAATAGTGTTCGATATGAAAAACACTACTGAAGAGAACTGGCAAGAGTATAGTAAAGTTCTAAACCAAATATTAGTTGATAAGTAGACAAATGCCACAGGGCAATATAAAAATAATGCAGTAAGTATAGATATGAAATGGGATATTATTTATAATGTATTTAGAAAAGCTACAAAAAAAATGCTATCTAAAGAAAAAGTCTAGAAAACACTAGTGCAAAAGCTGCCAGACCAAGCATTACAAGTGGCAAAAAAGGAAGTTAAAAAGCTTAGCAAGCTTTGTAAAAGATATAAATATAATATACTAAAGACAATAGAAGCCCCAGACAAAGTTTTAATCAAAACCAAGATAAAAAAGATTAAAGAATATATAGAGAAGAAAGAACAAGTAGAGATAACAACCTGGTCTGAAGAATTATATACATGGCTTGCAATACAAAGAAAGATAGCATATCGCATTTGGAACAATAAAAGAAAAGCTATAGATGAGGTGGAAATTAAAAAGAAAATTGAAAAAAGAGAGAAGATGCTAGTAACTAACCCCAAGAGAATACTTAATAGTATATTAAACAAATACAAAAATAGTATTAAACTCGATAGAGTTTTAAAAGAAAAGGAAGGTGTATAGCATCTAGTAAATAAGGAAGAAGATATAAAGCAGGTGGCATATAGTCACTTCAAAAGGCAGTTTGCAAAGCATGATACAAAGCCAAACTAGATGAATACTTTCTGGAAAGATCAGTACAGTCCACTTAAAAATGTAAATGCATCATAGTACAAAAAGCTCTTTAACAAAATATCTGATGAGAAATAGCATGCAGCACTTGAAAAGGCAAGCAATAAGCCAGCACCTGGCAATTCGGGAATTACATATTCTCTAATTAAAAGAGCAGGAATAAAAGCAAGAGGTTTCTTTAGAAAACTTGCTTTACAATACCTAAAAGAGGAAAAAATTCCAGAGAAATAGAAAAAAGGTATTTTGTATCCTATTTTTAAGAAAGAAGATTGGAACTATAACCTGGCAAATATAAGACCCATAATACTTCTATAAATGTTCTGGAAGGTGACTGTAAGAATCCTAAATGCAAGATTAAGCAAGATCTGCTATGAAAAGATGATATTAAGAGGGCCCAACTTCACAGAGCTTTCAGGAGACTGCATGTATTCCCTAATCCAGATACTAATATATATTATTGAAGAAGCGAAGGAAAAAAAGAAGGAGCTGTGGATCTTGTTGCAAGATATGAAACAAGCCTTTGATTTGATAAACTTGAAAATGCTAGACCTTGCAATTTGTAGAATCAAGTTACCAGACAAAATAAAAAAATTCATCCTAGACCTGTACAAAGATAGAAGAGTGGAAGTTATAATAGCTTTTGGGAATATAGAAAAGTTTTAGCTAAAGATGGAATAGACCAGAGAAAGATCATTTTACCATTAGTGTAGCGTATTTTCTACGACCTACTTCTAAAAGCTATACAAGAAGCAACCAAGTTAGGTTTTCACATAAACCTAATTTGGCCAACTGACCTATCCTCGAATAAAATCAATAAAAGCAGCTGGCATCAAGTGACAATAGTGTATGCTGATGATATAACATAAGTAGCAAGATCTAAAGAAGACTTAAATAGAATATTAGAGTTAGCAAGAGAGTTTTACCAAATAAATGATATTAGCATAAATGGAAAGAAGTCTGAATTACTAGTTTTCAACAAAAAGATCAAAGAGAGAGAAGAAGTGGAATTCAGAGAAAACAATGAGAAAGTTTGGTATAAAAGAAAAAAAGAAGTAGCAAGATTTCTTAGCATATCCCTTAAATTGTTTTGTAGCCAAATTTGCTTGCAACTTTTTTTAAATTTTAAATTTTTCTAATAAAATTTTAAATATTGATTTTAGCTATATATTTTCTAAATAAAATATTTAATTTTAGATTTGTTTTATTAACTTTGTTAAAAAAATTTTTTAAAATTATTAGAAAACTTTAGTATAATAAAAGTTTGAAGTTCTTGTATTAAAATTTTTACTATAAAATTTTTTCTTTAAATTTTCTTAAATTTTGTATGTTTTTTACTTATATATAAATCTTTGCTTCTAAGCCAAGTCATAATTTTTATAAGTAAATTAGTTATGCCAAGAAAAAATAAAATTAAAGTATACACAGATAGTGCAAATGCAATTCAGCTTATCAAACAGAACAAAAGAGAATTAAGTACTAGAGAAGAGTTGAAAATAAGTAACAAAACAATACTCAAAGTAATACACAAATACACTATTACCAAAGAGCTTGAAGTAAGCTTCATAAAAGTTAAGGCCTATAGTAGGGTAGAAGGGAATGAAAATGCAGATAGGTTTGCCAACAAAGGTCGAGAAAGCACATACATAGTCTCTTTTGAGCCTAGCCTGATCAAGGGCATATAAGTAAACCCAGTATGGAAGAGTCATATAATAGACCGACCTGTAAGGAAGGTGGTAGATGAAGTGACCAATACAATATATGACACAGAGTGGAAATATTTTATAAAAAAAAAAAGTAATCTTGAAAGTAGCAAACTAGAAGAAAATTACAAGTAGAGAGAAACATGGGGTCTAATAAATGAAGTAAAAGGACAGAGATACATAAGTACAAAGCAAAGCAGCATATGGTCTTTTCAAGTCAAAGCCCTAAACCAAATGCTATCTACATTAATATAGTTGCATATTAGAAACCCAGAAGTTTATAAAAGTAATACCTGTGTAGCATGTTTAAAGAAGCCAGAAATACAAAACCACCTCACAACATGTGAAATATATGAGAGACTCTGGGAAAAACTCGAAAAAGAGGTGGTGAAGGAATTTCAAGAGGCAAAAAGAAAGAAAAAGATCAAAGAAAACTCTCTAAAGTTGACAAAATATCTGCCAGACCCTGTAGAAACCTTCGGTACAGAAAGAAAAACAAAGCTAGAAAAAAGGAAAAGACTTATCCAAGGGATAATAAACAAAAGTAAGAACAAAGAAGAGAGACTCAATCTAAAAAAAATGCTCCAAATTTTCTATAAGAAGTTCTTTGAATGAATCTGGAAATTCTAATGTGAAGTTATTATAGAATAGGAAGAAAGGCAAAAAATCATCCGCAAAAGAAAAAAAAAGTATAAGAAGGGCCAAAAAAGAAGGACAAAGAAAAAGAAACAGAAGCTAGATGAGTCAGACAAGGAGGAGCCCGAAGCATCAGAGACTAGGCAAGAAGTAGAGAAAAAATCATATAAAGAAAAAGCACAAAAAGTATACAATGAAGCAAAAATATATATAGTAAACTTCATCCAAAGAGCAGTTAGGCCCCTTTGGACATCCCTAACAAGACCAAGCAAAAGTGAATAATGGTAATCTTGACAAGCTAACAACAGGCTTTTGTTGATCTTGCAGATAAGCTCCACAAGTTAGAGCCCTGTAGGGGAGAGAACATGTTGTTGAGGCAGATCACACTTAGGTACTGTTGGCAACCAAGTGAGTCTTTATTGTGTAAGAGGTAGTAATAACTAGAAATAATTTTAGTATACAAGTACATATATAAATGTAGTATCTCTCAAATAATAAAGGCAAGATTGCCAAAAAAAAAAATATTATATAGTATAAAGCTATAAATTTAAAAATTGAGTATTATATATATTTTGATAAAATAAACAAGTTTTGTTAAAATATCAAATTAATAAAATTTTGCATAAATAGATATTTTTTTATTAGACAAATAATTTTTAAATAGTATAAAGCAAACTACTAAATAAATAATTTAACAACGGGAAATTTTTTTTAGTGCAGTTCTGCGCAGCTTTGCAAAAAAAATTAAAAATCAAATATAAATCTGCGCAAAACTTCAAAATAATAACTATATATGCAGAAATTAAATACATTTCTATAAAAACTTTAAATTCTAGAAAATTTTACAGATTTTTTGTAAAAATCTGCGAAAATACAGATTTTTGTGGATTTACATTTATTTGATTTTCCCGATAAACGTTGTATATACTATTTATAATATTATATTTATAAAGTAATTGTTAGTAAAAAATTATTATATATATATATATATATATATTACAACTATTATAAATCCAAATTATATAATTTAAATAGCTTTATAAAATTTAGCACACTAGTATAAAAAACTAGTTCTAAGCTATATTATGTATAATTAAATATATATATTAACAAAAGTTTTAGTCTTCAAGTGCACTATAATAAATTATATACTGTAATTAAGCTATAAAATAAGTTGGTATGCAAGTTTTATAATGATTAATTCCAGCATATTTAATAGACATTAATCAAAACCTTGAAGGCAACATTGCTTTATTTCCTTACTAACAAGACAGGAGCCACATTTCGGTATGTACAAATATGTACAATGATCTGCTACAACTTTAGACTAGTTCAAAGTTTGACTCAAAAGAATTGACTCATACTAGTAGAAACAGTGTATATAAGTGTATTATTTTTAGTACTAAGCTTTACAATTTAAATTAGAAATATACATTATTAAGATTAGAATGTACATTTTTTTAAGTGTTCATTCAAGAGTGTCCAGCAACTCAATATTATAATTTTTTTGCCCAAAATCTACGAACAGTATCGAAAACATTCTTTTTTAGTTCAATCTCATTCATAGCAGAATCAACCATGGCCTCATATCTTGCATCACTCATGCCAAATGAATCAACAGCACTTTTCAAATTTTTCGCACCCCATCTGGCATTTTCCAAAAAGACTTCGCCCAATTTCCCACCCCAACTACCCATGGGAACCATTTTCTTCTCTTGATGAAAATCTGTTAATTGATCGTTTTCTCGTAAAGCTCTTCTGGCAAGAGGACTCGACATTAGACAGACATTGTATTTCCTGATTAGTGTTCTGATAGCTATTTTTAAAATTAAATATTTTTAGAACATTTGATTTATATATAATTATTACCGTAAATTTTCGAAATAGCAGGCATCTGCGCTATTTCGAGTACTCCAAAATGGCATTATTTTGAAGATACAGTAGGTTAATTTTTTGAACTGCGTATTAATTAAACTACACACGTAAGATGATAATACTGTATTAATGTATAGGGGGTGCGCGTTGTTTCGGGACACGCATGGACGTTATTTCGAAATCGCCTTTGCTATTTTTTTGGGGGACGCGATTTTCAAAATAACGCCCATGCCCGTTATTTCGAGAATTTACGGTACAATAAATAAAATTATATATATTGAGAAATACAAAGAATTTTTACCTTGTGATCTTAACTTTCCTGCTCTTGGGCCTTCGTTCACCCAAATATTATCAACTTCACAAATTTCGATGTATCCACCTGATTTCAATACGCGAACGAGTTCTTTAATTGCATATTCCCAAGCAGAACGAGTAAGTGAAGATCCCATAAATCTCATATGAATATAATCAAATACATTGTCATCGTAAGGAAGGCGTTGAAGAATATCACATTGAGAGAATGTAACGTTACTAGGTTTAATACATTGAGGGAAAAGTGGTAGAATATCGATGCCATAAAATTCTGATTTTGGATAATTTAAAGAAGTATCAAGAATCCATGTTCCAGCACCACATCTAAAAAAAAAAAAAAAAAAAGAAAGAAAGAAAATATGAGTATATATATACGTTATTAACTGTGCTTAAAATCTATATGCGGAACCTGCGGTGCGCGGTTTACATACCCAACGTCAAGAACCTTTGCTCGTTTATTGGTTAATAGGCCTTCAATTGGGGCAGAAAAATTACTTTTCCACAAATCTCTTATTGAAAAATGAGCCATATGTAATCTATCACATTCATCGTTTCTTTGCGCTTCATTTTTTCCATACATTTTCGTATCTCCAACGTATGTGATAGTAGTATTTGAAGAACCAGGTGAACTTATTGAACATTTTCGTTTATAACAATTTCGTGGCATGGTCTGAATCTGTGTAGGTTTTTGATTATAACGATCTCGTGGCATGACCTGAACTTGAACAGATTTAGAATGAATTCTACCCATTTTTTTTTCTTTAAAAAAAAAATAACTCCTTTGCTATTTAAAGAATGTGACGCGTCTTGAGCAACGAGCAAAGCGCAAAGGATTCAAAAAAAAAAGTTCTCTATTCCAAGGGTACTTTGTATTCGGAATTTAGTTCTTAAATTTGTTTTTTTTCTTTTTTTCCTTCCGTATTTATTGGTATCCAAACTGTTATTATATAGATAAAAGTTTAAAGTGATCGCTGATACAATGCTTTTATGCAGAACAGATAAAAGGAATTAAAACTTTATTTATGAACTAAAATCCTAACATTTGAAGATATATAATATTAACCTTCTTTATGCTAGTATCGCCTTTCATAGCAATAAAATTCTATGGCTAAATAAAATCGGTACTTGCAATAACGCACAAATATACATATATAGTTATAAAATAAAATATCAACCGACTAAAAAAGTAGTTCCATCTTCCAATTCTACATAATCACCTTGCTTTTTCCCATGAAACGTATTTACATCCTTATCTACTTCTTTCTCAACAAATGTATCAATTGCCTTATTTAATTCCGAATTCTGATCTGATAAAAGATTTTCTGTAACACTTCCAAGATTTTTCTGGTTTAATAGTGTTATATTATCGGGTGAAAGTTCAGGCAGGCTACTATCTGGAGCATTACATATTTTATATTGCTCATTTCCTTTTTCTTTCCATGACCTATAGCGATAATGAAAAAGAGAGATTATTTCTATATTAGGTTGTCGGTGATACTTTGGTTTTAGTGTCTATGTTCGGTTAATCCAGGGTCTTAAAACTTCGTTTTTGATATGCCTTTTTTTGAGTTATTCTTAGCTTTGTACCTTACCAATTATTATCCAGATCTTCTGTTGGTCTATCATTTTCAAGGTTATATCGCTCATAATTCATTTTTTTAATGTTTTTTGTTAAATATTCTTGTTTTATTTTGTTATTTTCTTCTAAATTTGATTCATTTAGGTCTGAACACGTATTTTTTTTTGCGTTTTGTGACGAATCTTCCATTATTAATACAATGAAATTTGAACACAAAATTAAAAGTCTAGATGGTGAGAGAAATGTTTTATTTCGCGAAGATCATGTGGGGATTTTATTAAAAACATACTTACTTACGTAAAAGTTATACGTACACAAATCGCACCTCAAATCTATAACATCTGCCATTCTAATAACGTTATTTAGTAATTCAATTAAGTAATTTTTAGTTAATTAATTAAATGTTTTATAAAAAACCATAAAAGCACATCATGTGATAGAGTCAGCCGTGTCGGCATAAATAATCTTTTCCCCAGATCATCGCTTAGATCATTAATTAGATCATTATGACCCCTAACACTAATACATAATAAATTTTATACTTTCCTAAATAGTAAAGTTACCGCCATTACTACGTATCGTTGGGAGAGCAACGTAATATGTACGTACGTACTCGTATATATTGGGTTTAGCCTCGCAAAACGTTTATAATTGATTACGTATTTATTTTGGCGTCACTCATATAATCCACCAAATGTCCTATCTATTTTCCCTTGACATCACTAACCTACTATATGCATTATACTGTTATATGTGCAACACAAATATATAGTCAATTCTCTGAAATGAACGTCTTTATACAGTACATAACAAACTGTAAATTTTATACGAAAAATTTTTCCTAAAAAAGTTGACGTAATTCATAACGATAAGAAAATTCGAATCTCGAATTAGAGTGGACCGGAATATGTATCCCATCCCATATCGACCTAATCACAAGTGACATAATATAGATCCCTAATTAATGTTAAGATCTGCACTATATATTAAAAAATAATTTACTCCGCCCGCCTTTAATCTCTCCCATAATATTAACATTAATTAATTCTATAAAGGCAAGATGTTTAATAAAAAGTGTTTCTATATCGTAACAATGTTGGAATTTTATCTTACCAATTGAAATATCATAGCTTACCGAGATGTCTACTATCATACGAAACCACATAGTAAATCGTTTACAAGTTTTTTTTTTTAATAATAAAACTTTTGGATCGATATAAAATAAAACTAATAAACATGCTGAAGTCCTTATAACGTACTATTTAAAGTAATAACACTATTTTTTTATTAAATCTAATTAAGGATTGGAACCGTTTAACCGCATAAAAATTTTTCCATAGTTTCGAGTTAAAATTAGCGCTGAATTAAGCGATTGGCATGGTTAAATGATTAAACGATTGGAAAAATTTTTAGGCGATTCCAATCCCTAAATTTAATAACATAAAAAGAAAAAAAAAGAGTTATTAATTTAAAGAGCACGTTAACTTTATTTGTACATGCTTAATTCGTTCAAGGGTTGTCTAATTTAATTTTTTTTAAAAAACCGGCCAATGATTTACTATGTGAGTTTATAAATCGTGTGATACCGTAATAGACAGTCGTGATATATTTCAAATATTACGTACGTAAGGAATTAAAGGCGAAGTAATATATATCTGATATATATTATAATCATTTAGATAGAGCAGAAGATTAGTTGCAATCAAATTTTATAATATATAAACAATTAAATCAATTAACACATTAAGTGTGTCGTGTAACCTAGTCCATTTTTGGACGCGTACCCTATATTAAGGTTTCAACAAGTAATTAGATATAACAGGCAAGTTTAGGATAAATTTTATCTTTGTCTCAAAATAAAGCCCATGTATGTGCTCTAAATAACACGCATTTACGTACTAAATAACGCGCAGGTGGGCGTTATTTCGCGACGGGATGTTATTTTTAAATTACAATTTTTGATGTCAAGATCAGCGAATATACAGTACTTATACGTACGTAATGTTTTTTATTTCATCATATTTTTCAAACCGCAGCAAGACTCCTACGATTGACCATAGCTGCCGCAACAAAATTGTGACGGCAGATCCTCGATTTTGATTGGCTAACAGCCGAGAATCTTCAAATTTGGCCTGCATTACATAATTGTTTACTAATTTCCGGCCGGAATTAACTTTTTGACTTTTCATTACAAAAATAGGGGACGTCTAAAGCGGAGTAGAATCACGTGATCACATGACCAAATTTTATTTGCCAGATGAGACGGTAATCGTGATTGGCCAGCGATAATTTTTAATCTACAAAGTTTTTTTTTCGTCATGCTGGCTTTTAACTATCACCAAACTTGTAAATTTCTTCTTTGTTATATCTTTTTTTTTGTTGCTGTATTATTTGTATTAGCTACAAAGTATAGTACAAACAAACTTGAACCAGACTTTAAGTTGCTTTGGACTTGTTTTTTTTTTTTTTTTGACCACGAACTAGACATTTTTACTTACCAAACTTAATATTGTGCATTGGTAAAATTAACCTTGATGTTATTTTGCATCAATCTTTCTTTAAAATAGGTTCTTTTGCTCATCATATTTTTTTTTTTTTTTTTTTATATTACAATTTAAAAAAAAGCTTTAAACAAACAATGGACTTAGATTCTTGTACTATATCCATATTAAAGACAAATCTTACTTTGGATGACAGACAGAATCTTCTTTTTGACATAAATCTTCTTTTAAAGATTCCAATAGAAGATTTTGATGACAACTGGTGGCCTTTAGTATTAAACATTTGGATACAATAGAATTCCTATAAATATGTAAACGGAAATGTTTGTAAAGTATTCGCTTGCCATTTTACAAAACATTGAAGTTCTAGCACCCAGCAAAAGGAAAACGTTCTAGTAGAAAAATGCTGAGTTACGAAAACCTGACTATCTGGACTATATGAAGCAAAACTAAAAGTTTTCTGGTTAGTTTTATTATAAATAGTAAAAGTTGAACATTATAAAAACTCCCCAAGCCACAGTCATTCTTTGGAAGAAACTGATAAGATCAAGCGTTTACAAGCAATTCGAACTCTTGTAAAGAATGAAGCAATTAAAAATTATTTACCTCTAGCAATAACTGCTGCCATAAAAGAATTCACATCGATTAAGCTTAGTCTCAGGTCAAGTGTGTATGAATTAAAATGAAAAGAAGTAACCAACATTAAATATAAAGTTCATGGGCTGGTAGAAGCTCATCTTGTTGGTGAATCTAGCTTAAAAAAGGATTTTTCAAATACCATATTATTTTTAATAGAATAGTAATATCTGGTTAAAAAATTTTGTGCTCTCCAAAAAAACACTAAGGGCATCATTTTTGCACACTCCGCACAATTAAAAAAACTCCAGCATTACAGGTGGTTAATGCTTATTGATATGACTTATAAAACTAATAGGTATGATTTGCGCCTCTTCACCTTGTATGTTCATGATACCTATAGCTACTGGGATGTAGATGCGCATTTTTTTGTTAGCACTGAAGATGGTAACACCATTGGAGAGGTGTTAAAAATAATCTGAAGTAAGTTTTGTTGCTGGTCCTCCCAATATATACTTTCTGATCAAAGCAGTATCGAGACAAAAGGTGTTAAAAAAGCATTTTCTGGTGTAAATGCTAGTGAACAAGAATATGAATTAATCCTCTACATCATCCATGTAATGAGGGTTTGGTTGTTTAAAATTTATAAAAAAGAATCTCAGGATTTTATAGTCACGGCAATGTATAAAAGAACCAAAATTGGCTGCGAAAAACTTGTTCAAAATGCTATTAACTATAGCTCCATTCCTGCCATTCAAAATTATATTGAAAGAAATTACAAAAAAAAATACTTAGCAATGGGGATTGTGGGCACACCAACATTCCTCTCTGCTTCTCCAAGTTATCTCTACGAACCCGTTGGAATCTTATCACAGTGAGTTGAAAAGAGCAATATCTTTATTTCATGGCTTAATAGGTATGTAATAGTTTATCATATTCTATTATATGTCTGCAACTTTTTAAAAATTATGAGTAGAAAATTTAAAGTAGAATGGGATGGGGTCCCGTAGCCTAGTGGTCTAGGCGCCCCTCCCTCCACAGACAAGGTCGACGGTTCAATTCCAGCTGGAGGCAACTCTGTAATCTACGGAAGCATATGAATGTACGCGAAGCCCTGTGGCTAAGTCCATGTGATTAGAAGATCGGTGTATAAGGAAGTTCCCGGAAAGAAGTTTCCCGATATGGAGAGTTGGCGCTCGATGCGAGAGAAGCGGTGAACATACCAGAAATGGAGAGAAGGCGCACTAGCGGGTGATACGGTAAACATAAAAGGAAACCAAAGTTCACAACTATCTCAAATACCAGATAGCAACAATACTTGCTGATGAATGCAAAAAATACTTACCTTCTAAATATGAAATTACAAATCCCTTCTCTCTCCAAGATTGCTTTTTTCAAACCACTAAAGAAGCTTTTTACCATATTCATACCTGCAAAGATAAAAATTGTACTAACAGGATACTGAACATAATTTTTCTAACCTATCTACCTTCTTTTTTAACAAATTCTTCAAAACTTTTCTAGTATCTTCTAAAGAAGAAACTCCAACAATTATCCAAATTGATCTAAATTTTTTTATATTTCATCCAAAAAACCAACATCTAGCAACTTTTAGAAAGGCCATTCCAATACAAACGCTAAATACACTAGCTACCAAAGCAGACCAAAAATTTGCAAAAATTAATAATCTGGAAACAAACTGCATACTACTTTTACTCTTACTTCAAAGCCTATCTCAATGCTGCATTAGTAAATGATGATTTTTCAACTCTTAAACTTGAAGAAGCTCTAGAAAAAACTATCTCACCTTCTATTAGCCCTCATACTCTTGCATGTATATTTCTTTATTATGATATCAAAACTCAATCTAAATTTTCAATATCTCAAATCCAACAAGAATATGAACTTAAACACTTTTTTTTTTTTTTTTTAAAGGGCGATCTTGCCTGTATGTCGTATTTATTATTAATGTATGATTACAAGTTTTTTATATAC